AACTTTAACACAAAAATGAGTAGAGCCCAAGGTGAGCAGTGCCATCAGACGGGTGCCAAGTGATACTTCGGAGATGATGTCCGCCAGTCCTACTAATTTTGTTTCTGACTAAAGAGCTCGACAGTTAACGGTTCCAATCTGGAAACTAGGCGTATTGGGCGATGCCGGACCAGGTTGTCCAGGCAACAGGTGCAAGATAGTCAGCCAGAGCGATTTGCAGTCAAACGTTCATCGAAGTCACAGGGTACCAGGTACTTTGCCGTCTACCGCAAAGGAAGTGCTGTTCGCTACAGCGGTACACCACGGAGTCAATGGCAGAGGAATCGCCAAGATTCACATCGCAAAGTGCGCCAATTTCTTTTCAATGACAATCTTTCTTTTGATGACTCTGTCATATTTTAGGTCGATTACTGAACCTACAGAGCTTTCCGTATAGAACATTCTCTATTACGAGATTATATATCGCATGTCGACCGGTATTTGAGACTGATGCGGTAGTCTTCCCGCATAGAAGAAGAAAGATAGCAATCCGTTTGAGAGTATCAGAATTCTCGAAATGCTTCTGTGCACCAAGGAAGAGCCATATGTTAGATTATTAGATATATTAGACTGGTATGAAAATGTGTTAAGTGCTGGGGTGAAATAGCTATCCATAAAGAGATATAATACTAGCTTTCAAGTAATGAGTGGAAAAGTAAGTTTATACTTTACAGACTCCTTCAGGGTGATGAGGTGAAATAATTGAAAAGGCAAATTCTAGTGAATAAGTGAGGCAGTTCGTGCACCAAGACTCGAGGTCAAGCCTGACTGTTTCGTAAGTAAATTTACCTCCACTTACATTGAGCCGTTCTGCTTTCAATGAGGTTCCCACGAACTACCCGTATTTTGCAAATGTTGCGCAAAGCCACCACTATGTGACATTTGAAAATGAAAAGCGTGTTTATCCAACATGTCGGTATCCTTATGTATTCCGAAACCTGAATCTGCCCTTTTGAAGGCAGCTCTCCCCAGAGAATACGCCTTCCACGGAAGATGTGGACATGATTTTAAATGAGAACAGATCAATCGGTTCAAAATTCAATTAGGAAAGGGTCACTGAAAACTATCGTGTACTGTACATCTAAATCATTAGAAACTCTCGAACCAACTTGAAGGGCAGCTGTTGGCATTCACACATCGTCCTGCTGCATTTCTGTATAGTCCATCTCTGCAGGCGCAGGCTGGCGGAGCACATATGAGAGGGCACGCAATGGGACCCTTAATATGTTTGAGTTTGGAATGCAGTAGTATCAATGTAAACACGAGCTCAGAACCTAGAAGGCTACACGAAACACTGCAATGTCACGATACCTCAGGCGAAGTCCTCTAGCCTCTGAGCACTGATCCCTTCATACCTTCCTTATCATCAAAATAAGCACTAATCCATTCCAAGAATAAAAATAAAGGTCAACATCAAGGGGAGCGAGCGTGAAAGAGAATCAAAATGATGCAAGTATAATTAGTCCTGAACAACGAGAGGAGGCCCTCCCAGTTTTGTTAGCATTATACCTCTCTACCGACTAACCTTCTCTCAACTGATTAGAGGCATTGCATTTGGTTCTAGGTTCAATCATTATAAAAGTCATCTATTGCTCCCTATTCCAGCCCAAAATCCAAATGCTCAATGTCACTCATCTGTTGGTGTTTTCATCCGATAATGCAAAAAACCATGTACCTTTCCAATATTTTCGCATTTCCCTTCGCATAGATTTCCACACTGATTGAGCACCTCACCAGCGCCGCATCCTGAAAACGAAGCTCTGATAGTGTCTGTACGGACGAGAACTCGTAGACCCCAGCTTGCTTCAGGTTTCGCTTAATTTTCAGCAAGGCGTCGTACAAGGTGGTGACAAACAGACAAAAGGACATTCGTGATTTGTAAGCAAGGAAATTTCGTTTAATTGACCGGTCATTCACAGCTCCCTTTCTTTTACTCGTACAGTGTTCGAAATTCGAGGAAATGGAGAGATGTGGTGGGAGCATAGCTCTAAATGTAGCGGTCGATAATGCTCAGCTGACGTTGATCAGTAAAAAGGTGTTGATTCTATGTGGGCTTCTATCTACACATTTCATGAGCTCAAAAAAAAGAAAGAGGAACGAAAGGCGTCAGTAAAGCTTTTCAATTCGAATACAAAAAGTGGAGCCCGGCACGATTCGGGTAGCCCAAATAGTAATTAATGTGATCATATGAAAACAAGAACGTCAATAACGGTGTTATCCTACGTGGAACTCTGAAAAATCTTCAAACTAAACTAACTCAAAGGGCAACTACTGGCGTCCACACATCTGCCGTCGGCATTCCTGTAATATCCCTCCTTGCACGCACATGCTCCAGGGGCACATATCCTGGGACACGGGACAGGACCCTAAATAAGGTTGAATCAGCTCATGAGAAAGTGTGTGCTGTTTACATTTCTGCATGGAACAAACTTTTGAAACGGCAAAATCCTGTCCATCGGACTCCTGAAGCATCACCTGTATCACCTATCGTCCCGTTGATCATCGACTTCTTCGAGCGGGCGCCATTAATGTCTCCATTCGTCCCTGTCACGAGCCAGAGTGGTCCAGTGAATCGTTCTCGCTTCGGGGACACGAGGTTCAACATTCCTTTCGTTCAGAGCTTTCGTGAAGAAGTCTGACCATCTCGTTGGCGGCCTTCCTGGAGTTCGTTTGATGTCCCGAGGGATCCAGTCAGTAACCGCCCTGGTCCAACGGTCATCACTATATCGCATAACGTGTCCGGCCCACCTCATCTTCGATTTCTTGGCGTAATCAACGGCATCCCTGATCTTCGTTCGATGACGGAGCTCGGAACACCGGATTCCCT